CACCACTCGAGGCGGCTGCTTGCAGGGAGCAGCTCCAGGAGGTGCGCTCCAGGACGGCTCCCACAGGCAGAGAGTGGCCCGTCCCGGGCCGGGCTCCGCGGGCGTAAATCACCTTAACGCCAACTCGTAAAATCCAAATAGGTTAGTGTTCCACACGCGAGAAGAGGCGACCCCCGCTGGCAAAAACAGCAGCGCGGCAGCAGCAACAACACCAGCAGCAGCAGCAACAACAAGTGAGCAGGCAAACAAAAAATATATATATAAAAGTTACACGGCGGTGCTGCTGCGGTGCGGCGGCCGTCATGCGTGAAGTGCAGAACTGCAGTGCGGCCCGAGCGAGCGCAATCACTCCACGTCGTGGCGTGGCGGGGCGTGGCGGGGCGTAGCCTGGCGGTGCGGGGCAGGGGGGGGCGAGGCGTGGCGGTGCGTGCAGGGGAGGTGTCAATCGTACAAGCGCGCGCCCAGGCCCGCACACACGCACACGCGCTCTCTCTCTGTCTCACTCGCGGCGTGTAGTACAACGCGCGTACGTCCCGCACCAGGCAATTTCCTCTCTGGCGCGCTATACGCCGGATGCGCGCGGCCCTGCTGGCGCGCGGTATTACTCCGTGTCGTTTGGGGCCCGAATTTTACGACGACGACGCGACACTACTGCAGCGGAGGGTAAACCTCCCCGGCACCGAGCGCACTACACCAAACAGCGACGTGGCGTCAAGTTACCTATCTCGGCTCCATGTGTGGGATACTCGCGTGCTGGAACAAGAATATGGCAATATGCAGCCACACACGCACGCACACACACACACACACACACACACACACACACACACACACAGTCACTTTTTAAAACAGCTCCTGCCCGACACGGACAGCAGGGAGGGAGAGGCGTCATAGCGAGCAAGAAAGCAAACAAAAAAGTAAAAATAAAAGTGTGATGCGCTTTGCGTCCAGGGCTTGTTTCACAAGATGAGCGAAAGATTATTTCCATTTTCTCAGCCTTCGCTGTTCAGACCGCGCCCGGCGCAGAACAATGCGGCCGGATGCACCGGGCCTGCCCCTTGGGCCCAGGCCCACCGCGCCCCGCGCGCCCCGCCCCCGGCATCAGCCCCCGGGGCGGGGCGGGGCAGCCCGGCGAATTAAGATATTACGTGCGATAGCATCAGCGACGGGGAAAACAATCGCCGAGTCTCTCTGGCATCACATCACACGCCCGACCCACCCGGCCCGACACTGTCAGTGGACATCCACTCGGGAGGGGCGCGGCGCCGAGAGACAACGGCGGGAGAGTCGAGTGCAGGTTGAGAAACTGTCTGTCAAATTCAGAAACTAACGGAAGCGTGTCGAGAAGGCGGAGGGCGAGGATGTGGGATGCGCTGCAGCTGCACCGTGTGTCGAGGTCGTGAGCGACAATGTCTGCAAAGACGAGCAACAATGTCTGTCTCCCTCTCCGGGGCGCCGTAAAGAGCATGAGCACCACGAGCACGAGCAGAGCAGTGGGCCGGGAGAGACTAGACTCTCCCAGCGGCGCGGCGGCGCCAGGACGGGACGCGACGGGACAGGCCTCTCAAAGCGGCGAGCATCGGTCACGGCGCGCCACAAAAAGGGAGAGAGAAGAAAAATTGGCCAGACAGCGCGGCGCGCGAGATAGAGGGAGAGAGAGAGAGATAGAGAGGAGGAAAGGGACTACTTGGGCTGATCACAGCCTCTCCATCCTAGAGGCCCGTCCGTTGGCCTGCTCTATTAGCAGTCCATCAGGTTGGCTGCCCCATTGGGTCCAGCCAGCCCCACTCTAATCCCGCAGAGCGGCCCGACCGGCCCTCCTCGACCGTCTCTATTGGAGTGTCATAACAAGCCAGCGCGAGCTCTCACTCACTTATACGAGGAGCCGGGCGGGGCGCGGCGGGGCGGGTAGGGCGGACAGGGCTCATTGCGTAAAGCACGCATGGGGGCGGTGGG